TTGAGAAAATCATGTGCARTGGAATGCAGATCCTTGTCACAGGGCACCTTTGAGATATTTTAGTATTATTTGCTTTCTGTTTATCACAGCTCATTCCACGAAGCACTGGAATGTCTTCAGTGCTTTTTGAGCATTATTCGAGATAGAACATCAAGAAATGCACAAAAACCATTCCACTCCTTTCCAAAGAAACCTGCAAGCTCTCCAGGAGCACCTGGTGACCACCAAATGACTCCAGCCATGTCCTGGGAGAGCCCTGTGAAACCCAAAGTCCGGGTGGAATGTCAGGAACTTCATGGATGTGAACRCCTCCCTGAAGAAAAAGAACACGCACACACACTCTTGGGGATTTTCATCAGAACAGTCTCATCAGAAGAGATCAAGAGCTTTTTCTTGGCTGATCTTCCTCAACCTAGAGAGAATCTTCAACCAGGTATGGGACAGAGAGGGTGAATTTCCCARTCTTTCCATGAATTGGAGCTTTGAGGTACACAGGTACTACAGAAACACCTTCTTCTTGCTGTTCTCTGTTGGGATTCACTGAGTTATTGACCTCACTCCAATTCTCTTTAAAGATTTTGCACTTAGCCTCTAAATAGTTACACTGAAAAAACCCTCAGTAGAGCATTTCACCATAAAAACAAACACAAAATTGCTCTTGGACCAAGAAAGGATCAGATCAGAACTTGGAAACATCTAAAAGAGCTTGAAAGACTCTGGTCAAAAATAAGAGTAAGCAAGAAGGAGAATTAGTTATGATGAACAGAACAAGCATAAGGCTGAGATTGTACCCAAGACACAACTCYAATTAAATAATCTCATGATTGTCATGCCCTTTCTTAATCTCAGCTTTCAAGAAGGGAAAGATATGGATCTGAAGGGTGCCTAATCCATGGCACCAAAAAGSGTTTGCCTGASAGCACCAACCAGAGCAGGCTATGAACTGAACTATCTGCTGATCCATCCCAGCTGCTCCTTGATGCTCCAGCCACGAAAAAACCCAACCACCACCTAAAAACAAAYCAACCAACCCATTTTCACTTTACAAGCAGCCAGCAAACAGGTCAGGATGTTTAGGACCAGAGCTGACGACCCACTGGCAGCAGCAGAGAAATTTCTCTACGTGTTCTGTGAAGATTGTGTCAAGAGCCAGGACATGAGAGCAGCTCCCTGAACCACAAACTCCTTTTAGAGTCTTTCCAGGTCCATTTTTTGCTCTGACCATGGTACACAGAGCTCAGGGCCCAAAGGCTGTGTCAGGGCCAGYGCTCTACAACCCCCTCACAAAGGCCTTGGAGGTGGCACTGGAAGGCAGACAAAGTCACTCTGGTGACGACAGGCAGTTGGGAGGAGCTGTGGATTCCCTCGAAGGCAGAGAGGTGCTGCAGAGAGATCTTGACAAAACGAGGGCTGGGCAATCCCCAACTGAACACRTCAAGGGCCGGATTCTGCCCTGGAACAGAGCAGCACGGACAGGCTGGGGAATGAGAGSCTGTRGGMCAGGCTGGAAAGRGATGTGGGAATCCTTGGCTGGTGGCAGTTGGGAATGAGCCACCAGTGTGCCCTGGCAGCCCAAAGYGTCACCATGTCCTGGGGGCAGCAGGCTCAGCACATTGAGGGAGGGATTGTCCTGCTGTGCCCTGCACGGGGGTGGCCACACTTTGAGTGTTGGGGGCACTCTGGGCACCACGAGATCAGGAGGATCTAAAGCTGCTGGAGAGTGGCCAAAKGAGGGACACAGAGCTGGGGAAGGGTCTGAGGAGCAGCTCAGGGCTCTTGGCTTGTTCAGCTGGAGCAGAAAGAGACTGAGGGGAGACTCCTCAGAGGCTGAGGTGGAGGGGCAGGGGCTGAGCTCTGCTCTGGGACAGGGCCAGGAGCCCAGGAATGGCTGGAGCTGTGTCAGGGCTTGGCATGGATCTTAGGGAAAGGTTCTTCTGTGCCCAGAGGGTGCTGGCACTGCCCAGGCTCCCCTGGAATGGGCACCAGAGCTCCAGGAGTGTTTGGACAGTGCTGCCAGGGGTGCACAGGATGGGATTTTGGGGTGTCTGTGCAGGGCCAGGGGTTGGACTCCACAATCTTTGTGGGTCCTWCCCAGCTCAGGCCATGCCATGATTTTTTAAATGCTTCCCTGATCCCGTGTCAACTCCAAGGGTTTGCTCTGCCTTTCTTTCCATGAAGGAATGAGCATTAAACCCAAACTCCTCATTCATCTGGACAAAACACAGAGCCACGGGCAAAGTGGCACCTGCAGCACATTTTGGTCCATCCAGGACRTGGTGCAATCCCTCAGTGGATTTCAGACAACATGTGCAAGGCACAGCAAAAGCTTCACATCCAGCAAAGCACCAAATCAGGAAAAATCACAAACAATCCCTGGTGGAGCCTGTTTAGTTTCCACTATCACCTGCCTGGGGAATCAGCTGCATAATTTCCAACGCTCTGCAAAAGCATTTCTATTTTCCACTTGACTGCAGAGGTTTGAAGACGAGTAAAGYTTTCTTTTAGAGCTTCTTGCACCTCCCTACCAAAACAGAAGCAAACCACAAAAAACGCTTTTCAATATTAAAAACCCCCTCCAACAGAAAGAACAGTTTAACTAAAAAGAGCGTGAGCATGGAACAGAAAGGCAAATTACAGGTTTGTCTGGTAATAACTAACATTTATTCATCCTTCAGCAAGATTTTAATCAGCTACTTGTTTTTTAATTAAAYAGACCAATGAGAAAGGTAAGAAGCAACGGAAGTTTCTTGTSTGTT